ATATGAGAATTGTGCTTGAGCACGGTAGCAAATATCTAGGTCCCCTGTTCCGATTCTTACCGAGGAAACAGGTTGTTTGTTTTTTGATTGCATATAATAATGATAATTTTGTGTCGCTTTGTGTGTTGAGGGTGAATGCCTTTATTAACGTGGTTTTTAAGTGTGGGATGACCGATAGCAGATTATTGAGTATCCCATCGACCCATTGGTTTATAATACGTTAAAGAGTGAAGGAGGAATATTCACCAACCCCCTAACTAAATTGGCATGTAAATAGGAAAGAATGTATTTAGGAATGAGTGAGAGTGTGAATGTGTTTGGACGGACCAGACCCAGATCTGATCCTTGTCTACCAACACCCGAGGTGGTTGATTCTCGAGGCCTGCCGGTAAATTATTGCGTTGTCGGGAAAATAGTGCAGGTTTATCGTTATGAAATAAAAACAATTAAATTAATCTATATTTTCAATAGGGATCTTAATTTACCGTTTTAATTATTCCAATTAATTTTTTTAAACATTTAAAATACCCTCCATTTCTCTCAATAGACTTCTCCCAACATGACGGCAATTTCTCTATACCCTCTGAATAGAATTTTGGGTCTTTATTATTAACGAATTCAGTATTCGTATTTTCTAACGAATTTTGGGTTGTAAATTTTTTATGATGTCAAACGTTATCCAGGTGGCTGAAATATCGGTGTCGGTAGGCAAGTGGTCTGTAAAATATGACAGTAAGGAAGAACCTCATAACCAAGATTCAACAGTTTTCGTGTTGTCGTGTAACAGAAGAGAACTTTTTCGAAAGACCAAAGATGGCTTCAATAATACTAATTTCTGGTGCATTGCTTCAATTTGAAAGCAATACATTTCTGCGTTGATTGAATAAATGATTGAAAATGTACTTTATTCAATATTATAATGAGTTACAGCTGTAAGTATAAAAATAAATAAGCTCACTATAGCTATGGTAATCAGCCGTTTGCCGGAAAAACGTGCAAAAATACGGAAAAAGAAGAAAAGCACTATTTTGTATTATAGTATAAAATACAGCATTATTTTGTGCCTAATAATTTTTGATGCTGTTACTTTAGGTAGCCTGTGATTGCGAAGATTTAGGACCCTGTGCACATAGGAAATATGAAGGTTTAAAGGGTATATAAAGATGAGATAGATAAATAAGATAAATCATGTAGCTAGTGATGTACGGCGTAGGCGATAGTCATTTCGAACAAAATATCATATTATATCATACCGTCTGTAGCCCCACTCCTGACCAGCATAACACACCATAGAGCGACACACAGCTAAAAACAGTTTGAATTTACTGTTGACAGGTATGAGATTGTGGGCATGAGGTTCTGCTGTATAGAATTCACAGCAAATTTAGCTGTTTGGGTTTTCTTTTTGAAACGATGGTTAAGGGACAGTTGGGTTGTGAAAATTATGCCTAGATCTTATATTTGTTTACTATTTCGATGGGCGCAGCTTTGAATTTACAACTCTCATAATCAGTAAGCCTTCCACCATTTCTGAAAACCATCATTTTAGACTCGCTGACATTTACTGAAAGTTTCCAGTTGTCACAATATGCCCCCAAGCGTTGATATTTTTTTGCATTATAATTGGCGAATCGCCCAGGATTTCATCGTCGGCGTATAACAGAATGATTATTCGGAGATCTTGAGGTGCGGTCTGGTGTGACGTAGGTTTTTAGAAAATCATTTTCTTTATCGTGCCAACGTTTCGATCTTTTTTGACATCTTCTTCAGGGCCTGGGATTTATAGTGTACAAAAAAAGTTTTTCATGTTCAATCAAAGTATTTGTGCTCACTCAAAGCGTTTGTTTTCTGAAAGCAAAGAAAATAAACTCTTTGAGTGAGTACAAATACTTTGATTGTATATAAAAAACTTTATTTTTTGGCATTGTACAAATTCATTTTTTTTCCACATCCTACATGTATTTGTTAAATTTAAACAATGTTTGTAAATCCCGGGCCCCGAAGATGATCTCAATAATGATCGAAACGTTGGCACGATAAAGAAAATGTTTTTCTAAAACCTACGTCACACCAGACCGCACGTCACGATCTCCGAATAATCATTGACTAACGGTCACTAAATACCACACACGTATAATAGTCTTTATTATGGTCTTTCCGCAGTGAATCCCAAATTTCAAACAATCAGGGAGATCATTCAGGAAGGGTACAAACAGTAATAGACTCAGGCTACAACTCTGTCGAACAACCGAACCCCATCCTAAAATATATGAAATCCCTTCCCTGCCTCTGACTGCCGATTTGGTATGCATGAAAAGCATTTCGGCATTGATTGTTTCGCCAGGATTCAAGAAGCTGTACAAATCAGCCCAAATGAATACTACCAACGTCACAATCACCTTTTTTTATGAGTGACTTTGGAAAGTGTGATGCTGCTTCTTCTTTGTCAAGCCACTGTCCAGATCGTAGATAATCCATTTTTCATCACAAGTAACAACTCTATCCAAGAAAGGTTTGTTAAACCCAAGCCCTGACGATGACCCGAATAAAGGTAGAAACGTAACAAAATTGAAAAAGATGATTTTCTAAATCCTATTCTTGACCGCTCCTCACGACTCCAACAAATTGAAACCACAGGTCACTAAGAAACACACACAAACTTCATAACGATGATTTTTTTGGCGGCCGTTTAATGTATGGAGGAACCCAACTTTGAGCTTTTTCACCTTTACAATTGCATTAAGGTGGTCAGCGACGGTAGATTTCCTAACTGAAAAATTCCTGCAAGTCTTTCATCTAGGGAAGAAACCCTTTCACGACCTTCTTTGTTTTCAAAGCTAAAGCCTCCCTCTCAAAATGTGATAAACCGTCTCTGAAAGCATGTGAAACATATTAACGTTCTAACTCAAGACAACTAGTGTACTATTTTGACGACCAGACTAGCTGTGGACATGCTAATCAGTCATCGACAGTAGTGTTCAATAAGTTTCATATGACTTTATTAGGAAGAACAACTTTCAGCAAGCAATAAGAAGGAAGGATTATATTTAAATACAAGTCAATTTAACTCATAATTCTAAAAATACAGGTTGCTATTAAATGCAAATACAAAAGAATGACAACGTAAATTTTTTTAAACGAGTTAATATGCTATTCTTCGTGGTTGGCAAGTGTTCAGAGCATAACTAAAATAGTCAAAACTATCGGTTTAACCAGTTTGTTTAACAATTGACAATTATAGGTGGTCGTAACGTCTGCCCTATCATTTTGTGTTAAAATCTCACTCCGGGCCTGAAACCTTTACAACCGCTTGGGTTTCTGGAATATAAAACAGTGCTCGGATTATCATTTTGTTACGCTATTTCCTTTTTGGCGGGACTAAATTTGAACCCAGGGTAAGCGTATTTTTGGGAAAACGAATATTCAACCTAAAGTTTGTTATGATTAACTGATTTTTGCCTTATAATAAAAACTAGTAGATAAATTGATCGTAATATTTTATTAACTGGCAAAGCTTGGATGAGATACAAATCATTGTTCATAAAAACAATTTTATTCAAAAATTAAACTAAAACACTTACAAGAAACCAGCATCTTAAAATATTAGCGATTGTTTCCGCTTTTACCCATTCATTCAATTACTATTTCAATTTGGTAACACAATCCTGGCATTTTTCGTTCACAATCATCACGTTTCAATGCACAGACTTTTCAAGAAAGCCAGAATCTTAAAAGGCTAGGACCACGACTAATGTCGCGATGTAAGGGATACATCGGGCCTTTTACGTTTATGAATTTTTCTCGAGTAAAATAAACCTATGCAGCACTGATTAGAAAAATTATTTAAATAATTAATTGTTTAAGTTCATATTTATTCCACGTGTCACGTTTATTTAACCAAATATTATGAGTTTATTTTTTTTAATCACTCACTCAACTCACTTATTTATGGAACAATCCCAATTATTTATAATTTTATTTCATAATATTGGTAGATTAGAATCGTTGTGAGCAGTTATTTCATTATTGGTCAAACAAGTACTGTTTTCTTTTTCAAATTGAACTATATTTTATTACTGACCATAATAACATTTCTTTTGTAAGGTATTGTTTATATTATAATTCTTTTCATGTTTTATCTTTACTATTCACATCATTGGCAATTCTGTTCAATTTTACATTGCCAGCAGCTTTGTCATCACTGTAATCCTTCTTTTGTGCTGTAGTTAGTAGTTACATTAGAACAGTAGACAAGTTTTATCATTACTGACCATTATAGACTTTTAGCAATTTCTTTTTCAATGAAGTTCTATTAGAACTGTTATCAAGACTCAATTGTAATTAAACATTTCATGTCCAAATAAGGCAGCATTATGTTTAGTCTCGTCATATTCTGCCAATTCTTTTGTAACAATGTTAGTCAGTTTTATCATTTGCCTTTCAGTGAAAAGACTGTCATTATACAAAATTTAAAAAAGTTGTGTCACTATCATGAATTATGAATCAAAGTTGAATCTACTTGCTTGTCACATTTATTTTTGTTACATTATAGAAAAGTGATAAATAAAGTTCTTCCATTTTTCTACTCAACTTAACTTAAGGCCCATACCGTAAAGCTGTTGAGGGCTGATAAAGGCTTTCAATATGCTAGCTTTATTGTTGCTATGAACATAAAACACACACTTAAATGATATGTTAAATTCTAAATAAATACAATTATGTCCAGTTGTTAGAAAATAATATTAACATTTGGACTAAATCACATTCTTTATATCAAGAATATTTTCAACAATTAAATTCTACTCAATGCATATCATATTAGCATTTTGTACCGTAACAAGTTGTGCGATCAGTATAAATTTAAAAAACGTAAGTAAAACATGCTATGATTTTTATTGAATAGGATATAAGGACAGAAAACAACAGCTTGGTAATTAAAAAATTGTTACTATATTTTGTTCTTTACATTTTGAGAAATATATATACACATTTTTTAAAAAATATGTTAAAAAAATTGTTAATTGTATCTTCTTTTCTGACTGCTGATGTACAGCACATTGTTCCCTCGTAGAAAAGCATCACCGTACTTTTCCTTAAGCTGCCCATTCACGTATTCTTCTGTCTGTTCGAGCGCTATGTTCATGTAGCCATCGAGACATGCAAGAACACCTTTAAAAAAATTAATGTGATGGTGTTAACTATTCATGCAAAAACATTTTAAACACTAATAATTGTGCTTCAGTATTTTAAATTATACGTCCATATTTTGAATACATAAAAAATATGGAATTAAATATTAATAACAACCAACCCAAAAAATACATAAGAACTAGAATATTATATCTTAAACATGGATTTTTATAATTTTAATGACTACTACATTGAATTACAAACAATAAAAAATATATTTTATGATCCTCTATAAGAAAAAAATATACTTGTATATACCGGTAGGACATAAGATATTTAAAAACCAATGGAAAGTAGATTGGCCCAAATAAATATAATTGTTTTAATATATATACATAGTGTATGTATGTCTCAATGTTTACATTAATATTACATATACTATTACAAATATTGTTATACATATTATTATAACTGTTTCCTGGTCCTGCATTTGGGAGAAGCCTTTGAAATGCAAAGGAAGACATCCCTTGCATATAAGTTGCTTCTCTCAGCACGCATGTATGAATTCTCCACAGTCAATGTGATAATACATAAAAATCAGGATAAACTGTTAGTTAAATTTTCACTAAATGATTTTCCTGTTTTGGTGATTTTTCTTTCAAACTTTTTTTTTTAATTGTAAAATTAAAACTCATGATCTCTGTTGATTTAGTTTACATTAAAATAAGTACGGTGTAATTAGTGTTAGTAATATTTTGAAACAAACAACAAAATATAAGTACTTTTTCTGGGAGGGTTGGCTTTACCATAGAGAAGATGGAAGAAAGCTGTCATGTTCTTAATTTTCTTTTAAATGTTTTAATTATTTTTTAATTTTTTAAAACGAGTATTCGCAACAGCATAGACCATATCAACCCTTGGGGTGCTGTTGTTTTTGGGGAAAAAAATTGTAAGAATGTAGGGTTTGTACCCAGCACCTGAACCGTTGCAGCCACCACTTCCAGCTCCAGTCATGAGCTTTGCAAGATTGCAAACACACTCTTACTATATGGTAAATACGCCTGCACCTTTTTGGCTTAAAAATCAAGTCCTTGAGCATCAAAATGACTTATTCTAATCCCCCTCAGGTATGAAATCGTATAAAGCTACCTTCAAACAAATTCTAGTTTAACCATTTATTCATTGTTTAAATATGTAACTTAAAAATGTAAATCTCATTAAGTTTAACACTAATTCTTGTCATTGTAACGAATAATTTTGATGCTATGTGAGTAAACAAGTTGAAGTCATGGTTACGGTAAGGTTGTGTTTGAACGTTTTGGATCTTTAGAAAAAGGACATTTTGAACAAAAAAATCGTTTACCTCTGTAATCGACGCCACTGTTTAATTTGACGACGACTGGCCTTCCGTGGATCTGCTGAATAAACTGAGACAAAGGCTCTTTTCTGCTCATTTTCTTCAAATAAGCCGAACGACGGACGTTTATGAATAACCTCTCGGGCGGTAGCCGGTGCTAGATAACGGGTCAGAGCGGCCGGGCCGGCAGGGCTGCCAACGTGAAACAAGGACGTCAATACCGAGGCACTTTCCCTCCGCCGATGTGACGTCCTGATTTAATTTGGCACCGCCGATTTATATTCCATCCTTCCAATGTTGAACGAATTATTTTAATTAATTATACTTTTTATTAAAGGTCTTGGTTGAGATGAAAAAGCTAGTTTCACGAGCGGGATTCGAACCCACGACCTTTGGCCAATACGATTGAGCTATCGTGACTTCGATCCACTCGGACATCACTCGACATCTCAACCTACAATCTTGCGAATTTTCCCTCTTTTTGCCATATTTTCAATCATTCTTTCATTTTTTTCTCTCACCTCAACCAAGGCCTTAGATAAAAAGTAAAATTATTTAAAATAATTAATACGGTCAATTAAATACGAGGTTGAAATAATTATTCACACTTTGTAGTACAAAGTGTACAAAGTTGTAGTACAAATGATTACTGCCTCAAGGACATCGACTGTACCAATGCAACGTCCTCAATACAAAACAAATTTCAATATTTTAAAAAAATTGTTATTATTTAATGAAACTGTATTGAACATGTAGTTTCATAGATTTTCAATGTTTTGTTACTTCTAGCCCTTTTCCTTGAAGGAGTTGTCAAAAATTGTTCGATATCAAGGATTTGCCATTATGTGCCATTTTCAAGAATATAGTTTATTTCTTAATTGCTCGAAAACAAAATACACTGTTGGACTAATGTAATGTACCGCTCAATTTATTTAGATTCAAATTAAATACAGGGGCGCAACGGTTTAGGCGTTGACACAGCGCTGTAAAGTTGACGCCCCGGGTTCGAATCCAGCGGCTCTGCATTCGAACCCGACTTACAATTACTTACGACTTTCAAAGGTGGTTTTTTTTTCTACAGTAGTTGGGAGTAATTAGGAGTTATCGTAATAGACGTAAACAGTAAATAATGATTGGTTTACTTCTTTGTTTACGTTTTTACTGATTAATCCCATTTGAACAAAAGGTAGCATTATGCCCTTCCATTCTGCGACGCCTAAAGATCGCTTTTAGTTAACCTTTTTCCTTCGTTGGAAAAAAAGAAACATTTGATATTGTTCTTATTCTTAAACCTTTTTCAATGGACCCAGTCAGATATTTTAGGGAATATGACAGTAGTAGGGTCATAAAATAGTTAGAGGAAGGATACAGTCAGCGCGACATATTCATTAAAAAAAAATTAAATGTCTATTGTCATTATTATCATCAATGCAAAATTAATGTTTAATTGTTAATAATATGATTTTTTAGTTACAAATGGTTAAAAAAAGTCATTTATATTTTGAAACTTGATTTCAAAAATAAATGATAAAATACAAAATAAACAAAACTGACTTTTGGGTTAAAATTGAATATAAAAAAAGCTTCAACAAATCAAATGTTCAAAATACCCCCTTCTTTAGCTTGCATTCTTCAAAAAGGTGTATATATTGAACATTTAAGTTAATTTGTAGAATCCTTTTTTATTCTATTTTGTACAAAAGCGTCTTTTTCATTAATTTTGTATTGTTTTCCCTTTTTTAATCGAAGTTTCAAAATCTTATTGAACGAATTTTTTAAACCGTTTCTTCGTTCGTTCGTACATTTTTAGCAAGTTAACGTTAATTTTATATTGGTGATAAACTGATGATTGAGAAATTAAGACATGTGTTTAATGTTCATTAGTAGGGGCAACATTGTATTGTCATGTATGTCAGTATTTACAGAACCAAGAATCTTACTTAAACATTAGACAAAACCTAAGAAACTCGCTAAAGTTTAACTTCTGATTTTTTATTTTATGAATTGAAGATTAAAATAAAATCCACTAAAGAATCTACAGTTTATAATGTTCTTTCCATTGGTGAAATCTAAATTAAAGTAGGATTAAGATTTTATGGAATAAAGTCTTGAAAGATTGAGATAGCCTGAAAAATTATTGTTATCTCGAATACAAATTTAGAAAGAGAAAACCTCCTGAAGTAGTGACGTCTGTGCACTGGACACCCTGTTTATTTTATTAATGATTTTTATGTATTCAAAGATCTTCTTCTCTATACTTCTCTTCTATCCTATGAAAACTGTTCATTCTGATTTTTAAATGAGTTTCCAAAGAATCTGGAGAAAATTAGCAAATCAGTGAAACATTGGAAGATGAACAGTTTTGATGTCATAAGTAGTTGTCATGCTCAATTTTTTAAGGAAAACTCAGTTATCAGCAACAACGTTTCTACAAATAAATTTGAGCGAATTACGTGAACTTGTGAATTACCCCTATTATTTATCAATTATTTAAGGTTTTTAGTTGAGATAAAACCGTCAGTGTCACAATCTTCGGCTAAATACGCCACTGCACTACCACTTGAGCTATCGCGACTTCTATCCACTCGGACACTAACTTTCCATCTCAACCCAACCTTTCGAATTTTCCCAACTTTTTGCCACTTTTCAATTGTCGTGTAATGTATTTGATTCTCGGCGACCAATGAAATGGACACGGAGAGCTTTAGTGAAGATATACTTCATTGGATTTCGTGAACCTGCTTACCAAATATCATCTTTCAATTAATTAATCTTTATGTAAGGTATTGGCTGAGAATGGGAAGTTAGTGTCTGAGTGGATCGAAGTCACGATAGCTCAAGTGGTAGAATAGCGGCGTACCTAGCCGAAGATCGTGGGTTCGAATCCCGCTCGTGACACTGACTTTTTTATCTCAATTAAAAACCTTAATTAATTGAAAGATATTAATTGGTCAAGCGGACCACAAAAACCAGTGAACCTATTATTTATGCCATTTTTTATTTATTTTGGTCGCCTAGAAGCTCCATAAAAATATAATGTTATTTATGATTCCCAATTAAAACGTTACCCAGCTTTCATTTTTAATCGGAGCTTTCAAAAACAAACGAATAAATGCAATTTGATGAATTCCCGGTTCGTTTAATGTGTAATAGTGACATGATGAAAAAATATTATGATTTATCGAAAGGTATCATCTCAACCTTGATAGCTCAATGAGAACATCAGTTTTTCTGTTTTATCACTAATTAACGTACCGCTTTATATTCGCTACCTTATACTTTCAAAAATACAAGCTCGTAAAGACCCTCTCCACCCTTTGTTTTAAGTTTGTATGTATTACCTTGCTCACTGTTACTGCTTGTTACCTATTTGAAGGTAGTTGTAATGTACTTCAAATTATTTAAAAAAAATCACACACTGATACAGCCACAAACTCGTCCAGGAAAAACATGTTCGCGTTCTCAGATTTTCTAAAATATTTGCAACCACAATAACACGCCAACGGAGGAAGAGGATGAAGAACAGAATTGTGCGGCACTCTTATCACAATGGAATAAACCCTGTAAATACAGCAATTCTCTGAAAATCTCCCAGTCGTCATGCCAACCAAACCCACGCATATGACTTATTTTCCTCCTTTCTCCCTTGATTAAGATATTCTATCTTGTTCGGAAAGCCGTTCGCAGAAAAGTCATTTTAATTTTTTTTTTTTTTTTTTATTCCTATTACGAATGTTATATCATGAAAAATCGTATACAAATGTAATATGGCCCATTAATACTTAATATGCACACGTGCTTATAATACATACAATTATGTATGAATAATCGGCAACATAAAAATTATCTGGTCTGAGTAATTGCCAATCCGATGGAGCAAGGTCTGGGTCACTTTCATGTGAGACATTCAAAATCATTAGATAAATGTATGTGTTTACGCCAGGAAAATTTATAATTTCTACATTTTCATAATTCTTGTGGCTTTCGAGGGCTTGTGCTTATAGCCTATCTCCGGGAGGGGGGGTGTTTGGGCCGGGCATTTTTTGGGGCAGGAGAGGAGTCGAAGGCTCGGTAATAGGCAATCAGGTCTTGAACACGCCAATATCTCCGTATCGGTTTTTTTCTCTTTCTCTTGGCTCTTGTGATTTCTCTCGGCATCTTCATCCTCGACACTTTTCTCTGTGTTCAACGACGATTTACCGAGAGGAGCAGGTGCGGATCCGGGCACGAACTCCAACATCCAGCCTAGCGCCGTCGAGAGAAGCCAGAAGAAGCCCCGCATGCGATTTATTTTCCTTCTCCGCTTTTCTCCTTAAGGCAATTCCCCAAAATTAATTTTCATTTATTTTCATTAGGTTTCATTTACTCATTCTTTATTTTATTTTCTGTTCACATTTTTCCGCAATAGCCGTAACTTTGTCTTATTTTTTTTCAATTAATTAATTTATTTTATGTTATTTCATTCGGCAAGCCGCCAAAACAGAATGCATACACTGACATTTGTGTATGTACTGTGTAAATACAAGGGCATTTAGTCAAATAACAAACAAAAAATCCAAGTTTCAAAACAACAAATCCGAGTTCGTTAATAAGTTTTAAAATTTTAGACGTTTGATTTGATGCTGCATTGAAGATTCTTTTAATTTTTTTTCGAGGTATTTCAACTGCGAGGTGATATGAATCATCGGGGTGCTAGTGTTTTTGGGAAAGTAGTAAGTATTTAAGTATCCAGCGGCCAACAGTGATGAGCTCATGACTCAACCGTTGCGGCCACCGACAACCAATTTTGTTGCTTGTTTGTTACAAATTACAACCTATGCAATGGCAAATGATTAATTATTTTTAAAGTTCATCAGATTTTGAAAATATTGTACATTTTTCCCGCAATAATTTATTAAAAACTTGCATTTCTCTTGCACAGTCCTTAATGGACTATTCCTTGGTGAACTTTAAGAATAAAAAAATCATGTTGATAATCTTGAGCGGTTGCCTGGAAGCAAGGCAATGTTTGAATTTTAAAAGAACTTTCGACGTGAATGGCACTTCGTTTACTGATAGAAGAAGACCAGTTTAATATGAATTATAAAACGGCTAAAAGGCATGGAGGATAAAACCCACTTGTGGGTAAACCTTTTTGCCAATAATAAATCAATTGCACCGATATCCTACTA